GAGTCCCGAGTTCCACTCTCGAGTGGGGAGAATGTTTATCGAGCTTCTCGTCGGTCTTTCTTCAGGGCTGATGTATTGTTGTATCCCTCTCAGCCCTGGTTCATCATGACAGGCAGGGTCGGAAGCCTGCTTCTAATAAATTATCTAACTTATGTCGAACGGGGGCGTAAAACCACCCCTTAAAAAAATTTAATCAGAAGGTCCGAAATTATGTTATGGAGACGGCACTTTCATGACCTTATTGTGTTGCAAGTGAAGTAAAACTGTTACTAAACCAAAAACGTGGGTGGTTGACGGGTGCTCTGGTGTGGTTTGCTCCTTCTTTCCTATCGAACATCTATCATCTTTCTCTCCCCTTCTTCTTTTTTATATTTGTTACTCACTTGTAACACCTCTAATCTTCTGGCGCTCATATGACCTGATGCAGTTACGAGCGCCGTAAAACCTCTACTAAAACTAAACTAAAACTAAAACTTTTTATGGAGAGAATAGCGTTTGAAGGACAGACTGAAAGACCAAACACAGCAATCGACAGGAAGCTGTTAGGAAGGCGAGCCCTGGACACAGGGGGGGGGGGTTCAGTCTGTTGGCTTAAGGATCTCCGGTGTCTGAGGGGTGGTGTAGTGGTTAGGCGCTGCGCTGTCACACGCGGGATACACGAGTTCCATTCACGAGGGCAGAATTTTTTTTTAAATCGAGTATCTCAGTCTTTATTCTGAGATGTTGCGTCCCCCTTTTTCTTTTTTATTCTTTCTTTCTTTCTTTTTTTTCTTCTTTTTTTTTTTTTGGCAAGTATTGTATGGCGCTCGTAACTGCATAAGGTCATATATGAGCGCACGGGACACATTAAACATTTTCAGTCGGCAGGGAATTTTGAATTTCCCCTGGGTGACGGCCGAAGCCTACTCTTATCGATTTTGGACCACGAAGAGATCTTTAACGTGCGCAACATGCACACGGAACCTCCAAGATTTTTCGCCCTTGTCCGAGAAGGCTAGGTGTAGATCTTTCCCTACCATTAGATCAGGGGTGTGGCAGAAAGACAGCTGTAAGAAGGAGCCAAGGAGTAGCAGTACAAAGGCTGCAGAAAGAGTCAGG